CCGGCGGGGCTTGAATCAGCAAGCGAGCGGGAGCCGCTCCGCGCCGGAGTGAAGGGTTAAGTTTAAAGCTGACAAGAGAGCCGTTTCCTTTCCTGCAATGTGTGTGCTGTTCAAACACTTCCGTGCTTTGAATATCAAGGGGAAAATATGCGGGGCGTAGTCGCAAGCCAGCCAGCCTTTTTTATTATTATTATTTTGAAAGGTAACGTTGCAACCTGTTGCGAGCAAGTTTGTGAACGTGGGGAATGTTCCCGTTATATCCCTTTGAGGCCACCGGGATCAAATTCATGGCTTCCCGGACAGTTACTCTAGCTAGCCCACTTTTTTTTTTTAAAAGCCAGCCTCCACCCTCCTACAACTCGTGTTTTGTTCCTCAGTCGGTGCTGTGAACTTAATATTTTGGTTTTAATTAGGTGTGAGGACAAACTATTCCTCCGGCTCCGCTAATGACCCCTTGGCCTACTTAATTACATACTGGATTCTTAGAGGAATGTAAATGGCCAGGGTGCCCCTCCCCCACCTCAAAGTTTTCTTTGAGCTTTTCAAGCGGCATCGAGTAGTTTTGCATGTCCTTTCAAAAAGCTCGACATATCTTTCAGAATGCTTTAAAAAAAACTACCACTACAGTATGTTTGCATAGACATTGGTTTTAGAAGAAATTCACAGGATGCAGATGTTCTGTGCTAAAAGGCTCAACAACAACACTGACAAAACAATATTAGAGAGCTAGCAGAATAAATGCTGCCTGCAAAAATAGGATTTATTCATTATTTTGCTGGGTAGTTTTAGCTGAATGACTTTATGTTACCTGTGCTCCAGTTGGAAAACACACACCCATTAAGTAATACATGAATTGTTTCTGTGCCAGGTTTAATGCCACATCTTCCTACCTTGACCCATTTATTGGTTAACCTTAAACCAAGTCTCTCCATACAGCAGAGACAAGGTTAATGCATTAAACCCTTCTTGCCACATGACTGCACATAGTGGATTTACCTCTCCTTTAGCTCACGCCTAAAGAGACTGTTTGCAGTCACATTGTTCAAAATGGATCTGTAATCCATCTTTCTGTGATCTCAAATATCATGAGGCTCAAGACAGTTCACCTGCTCAGCCTCTGAATATCAGAGGCTTGGTATATTCCTTCCCCAGACAACAAATGCCCTGGTTTGTTTACATCCTTGGTGAATCCAAATGGCTTTCTATCTTCAGCTTCTTGCTAACTGTTTTGGGCCACTGTTAGTGCTTGGTGTGAATGCTTTGATCTAACTCCACCTACTCAAAGTACCATGATACTGTTTATCTAATCTCATATCCTGAGGTAGTGATCCCTTACTTCATTTTCAAATTTGATTTGTCTGAATGATTGAGAGTCAGGCTTCTGGCTGAGGAGAGTTGTTTTGGTCACTGCGGAGTACAGTACTATAAGAATAAAGAAGTATTTTAAATTTAGTAGAGCCATATCTCAGTGTAATTTGCTGCTACTTTTAAGATATTCCACAATTCAGAAAATAAATCTTGTTTTAAAGACTGACATTCTAAATGGACTTATCAGAGGGTATCTTTCAATTTAAGGAAATACGCTTCCATGTAAATATGGACAGGATTACACTGTACATGAGCGAAGGCTGTTAGCACATGACAGACCTTTCAGAACGTATATGTGTGTGTGTGTGTGAGAGAGAGACTTCAGATAAAGCGAAACATTTTCAAAGCAAATGGAATAATTCCTCAACAGAAGGTTAAAACAGAAAATCAAATTGTATATTGAAAATGCACTGGATCTTTCCTTAACTACACATGATTTGTGTTGGCAGAAGTTTAACTAAAATAAAGTTACTCCTCTCAGTTAAAATCAGTCAGCAGGTGAATTTATCTTAATAGTATATTGCATCATTAAACCTCAAAGCTAATTACCTACTTTCTGAGGTATTATAAAACAATTTTTAAAAAAGATTAAAAATGTAGACTTCATCAGTGCATTAGTGTTGGGACTTGGGAGTCCCAAATGCAGTCAATAGATAAGGCTCAGAAAAGGCTGGTGTTATCTGCTGGTGTACTCCAGACACTCTTCCCCCTTGGTGTCATTTCAGTCTTTCTGTACCCTGCTTTAGGTTACAGCTCATATCAGTTGCAGCCAGGACAACTAATTGTCAGGGGTGGTGGGAGCTGTAGATCAGTGGGAATTTGAAATGTTGATTTGTATCATTAGTGCTGTTTGCTGCGAATATGTTTCTAGCGTGGGAATGGATGCAGGCACTTCTTGTAGACAGAAGGGGTCTTTTCTTACCCTGAAAGGCTCCCAATTAGAGATGAGGTTCATGCGGGTTTGTACACAAGCTGCCCCCCACCCCTGGCTGGATCCCCCACTCAGCTCCTCTTCTCCTTTTCAGCTGTGCCACTAGTCTCTAGCACCCAGACAAGGAGGCAGGACAGGTAACCCTGTGCTCCTGCCAGGGACTGGTTGAACAGCTGAAGAGGAGGTGAGGAGCCTGCTCCAACTAGTGAGTGGGTCATTGGTTGGGGAGGCAAGGGGTAAGGAACATGTGGTGTCTCTGGTGTTGAGTGTATGAACCAGCGTGAACCTCCAAACCAAGGTTCGTGCCCATCTCTACTTCTGATCAAGTGAACTTTTGATTGGTTTGAATGGGAGTGGAGACAGGCTTTGCTGATTCCCTCCTGCTTTCTGTAGCTTCTTAAACCCCTTCCCAAAATCTGCTCCAAAGGTCAAGGACCTCTTACAACAGTGTGAAAGGTGATGGTGATGAGTAAGGAGGCAGATGTAAGAATCAGCAATAATCCCTCCCCCTCCGATGGCTGGAGGAAGTGCCCCCATTGTTGAGAGAAACAGCTACATCCAAATCAGGATATTTGGACAGAAAAACATAGATGGGTTAATTTGTTTTCCCAAAAGATCATTTCTGTATATTTTGATTCTTATAACTGGATTCATCCTGTTACCATGGTAGGTATAAAGCTGGGGAATAGTACATATGTCCTTTTTATTTCAGTTGTTGTTTCCTCTTTGATGAGAAAACCCTGGAAGATTTTCATCTTCATGGTCTATATGGGCCAGAGCTAAGAGTGCTTTGTATCAAAAATTCAAATTGACTTATGTGAAGGAAATTAAACACTTGATAAATGAATAGAATCCAGATTCTACAACTGGAATCAATTATACAAATTGAGTAAGTTTATTTGCTTATTTCCCACCACCATCAATGTCCTGGAACAAGGTTATGCCTGCAGTGGATGAAGGGAACTTGAAAAGTTTTAATCACACATACCCATATAACCTTGAAGATTACCTGCCAGAATGCATTTCATTTGTGGGAAGGTCAATCGAAGGCTGGCTGCTCAGGAAGTACAACTCAAATGTTATTGTGTGACTCTTGAGGAAGATTAGAAGCAGGGCTTTTATTTTACTTACTTATATGGGGGCGTTACCCATTTACAGTTAGCTGCTGTGTAAATTGAAGCTTCTAGTTTTAATCCACAATGCTGTTTTCTGGAAAAGTGAAATATTTCTGAGAAAAATAATTTCACCCACAAAGATCTGATAGTAATGGTCCCCTGAGTTCCTTTAACTTGAAATATAACTAGACAGCAATGGCTTGGGTTGTTTTTTCTCTCTCTCTCTGTCTCTTTCTTTTTGAGGCCCTCATGTTTTGGAGTAGCTGAGCCATGAGAGCTCAAATCTTCTAAGATTTTGATTATCTTTAAGAAAATGTTTTTAGGCAGGACTTGGTGATGTTTGAGACTGGTATTATTTACATTTGTGGGCAGAGCATAGTTTCAATCACTTTATTCTGTGGTACGTTGTTTTTTCTTATTAATTGCTTTGCACCGTATAACATTTTAATTAAAACATTCTAAGTGGGACTGAAATAGGAACTGTGCAAGGCTAAAAACACCACACTCCCATCTTTGTATGTATATTTGCAAGATGGAACGATAAGTCACAGGCCAACTCAAGTTTGCAAATGCTGAGCTGGGTGTATAATCTGTGTTGCTCCCTCTAGATTTAGACAGTTGGTTGGAAGATAAAAGTTTTGGAGCGTTGGCACTTGTGGACAGCACCTCTGTCTCCCCGGAGGTCTCTTCTCTTTCCATGGTTCCAGCCAATGTGTCGAGACTCAACATTTGTACATCTTCCTTCATGCTGTGTGATGTGCACTTCAGATGTAGAAAAAGTGATATGTTGCATGTTAAGATCACTAGGAACTGACATGTTGTTGCTTTTGAATATCTTTTGTTGTACAACAAAGTGCACCCTTGATATTCTACCACC